CTCCATTTGGATATCCCAAAGTCTGCCTGACCAAAGAAATCCAAATTGAAACTCATCTTTTTCTCTTCATCTCAAACTAATTTTTCCTGTACGATATGACCTATGGTGGTGGTGGTGGTGTACCATGGAGATGGTTCCTACTTATAGTGACCCTGTATAGGGTTTCGGAGGCTGGAAATCATTACAGGAACATGAAGCCTCATCTTTCTCCGGCTGAATGGCTAGTAGTTTCGAACTGCTGACCTTGAGATTAGCAGCTCAACTTGTAACCACTATGCTACCAGAGCTCCTTAGATATTACCTATGTTGTTGTTAAGTGCCATCACGTCATTTCTGACCCATAGTGACCCTGTAAAGGGTAACCAAGGAGTGGCTGGTGGCTTTGAACCACTGATTTTGAGGTTCAGACTGACCCTGCGGTCCAGTGCATTAGCCATATATTACTTACAAAGCTTACCAAATGGCAATTCCCTCTTCTTCACACCCAAACTTTGATGATTTGACCTCCTCAGGTAAAAAGACGTCCTATCACATCTGCCTGTTCTTTCTCTAGTGTCTGTGTATATAGAAGCTGAGGAATGAAACACCCCTGATGCCATTTTAGAAGAAGGCAAATTGTTAGGGGTTTCTTTGCGTAACAAGATTCCTCGCAGTCTATAGCTCTAGGCTAAATAACCTTTCAAACTTACCTGTAAAAAATATCAATTCCATATATATATAGGAATGCTAAGGTTCCACTACAAAGGAAATGTGCAAATTTGCTACAGGGAACCTCTGGCCTTCCAATTACAAGCAAATTCTACTTCGGTATATTCAATACAATATTATTCTAGCTTTCCAACTTCTTTTGTTAAACCTTTTAAAATGGAAACCAGTAATTTTGCCTACTGGAGTCTTAAAACAGCACATATTGTCTCCATGGCTACTGTACCCACAATTTGTCTCCTTAAGTTATTCTTTAACAAAAAAGAGTTGCTTGCTTAGGAGTTCCCTGAAGTTACTGAATTAAAAAAAAAAAAAAAAAAAAAAAATTCTAAGGCATATCACTACTACAGCCTCAACCACTTGTTCTTATATACTCTCAAATCCTCCTTTGCTCTCCTCAATTCCCTCATGCATGCCTTGATATATAGCTTTTGTTGTTGTTAAGTACCATGGAGTCGGTTCCGACTCATAGTGACCCTGTACAGGGTTTCCATGGCTACAAATCTTTTCGGGAGCAGTAAGCCTCATCTTTCTCCTGCAGAACAGCTGGTAGTTTCAAACTGCCAAAACCACTTACTCCTTGATACATAGCTTGTTGTTGTTAAGTACCGTGGAGTCGGTTCCGACTCATAGTGATACCGCACAGGGTTTCCGAGGCTATAAATCTTTACGGGAGCAGAAAGCCTCACCTTTCTCCCACGGAACAGCTGGTAGTTTCGAACTGCTGAACTTGAGGTTAGCAGGCCAATTCATAACCACTACGCTACCAGAGCTCCTTGATACAGAGCTTAGCTATCTAGAAACAGAATTTAACTTTGCTCAGGAACCCCAGAATCTCATTCACTGAACAAAGGCAATCATGGTTTCTCCTGGTTTAGTGATTAAGCTAAGTTTATACCCACTTTCACAATAACAAAGAAAGCAAATCTCTAATTTGAAACCAATACCATAACCCTCACCATTTGACTTATTTACTACATACCTTGAAATAAAGAGACAGTGGGGAAGGTCAATATCATCAGCCAAAACAAGGCCAGTGGTTGACTGTGGGAACAGACCATCAACTGCTCATATGCAAGTTCGGACTGAGATTGAAGAAAATTTAAATAATTTCACGTGAACCAAAATATAACCTTGAATATATCCCCCTGAATTTAGAGACTATCTCCAGCCAACAGATTTGGTGTTTTAGACATTAATGACAAAAGATCAGAACTGTAGGATAACATCAAGACCATCATACAGGAAGAAAGCAAAATGTCATCAAAAAGACAGGAGAGAAAGAAAAGACCAAAATGAATGTTAGGATAAAATCATCAAGCTTGCTCTTAAAGCTAAAGCAACAGGAAGAAATGAGAAGTAGTGAGTTTAACAGAACCATCTTCAAAAGGCAATTCAAGAAGATAATGTAAAATATAATGAAGTATGCAAAGACCTGGAGTCAGAAATCAGCATTTCTCAAGCTGAAAGAGCAAAAGAAAAAAGTCAAGCCTCAGCTTGCAATATTGAACGAATCTGATGTAAAGTTGTAGGTTACCAATTCAAACCCACCAGCTTCTCTCATAAACCCTATACAGGGTTCCTTATAAGTTGAACTGACTCTACAGCATTTAACAACAATGGGCAAAATGTTGAATGATTTGGGAAGCATCAAAATAAGATGGAAGGAATGCAGCCACTGTACCAAAAAGAAATAAATCAATGTTCAACCATTTCAAGAGGCAGTGTATGATCAAGAACCAAAGGTATTGAAGGAAAAAGTCTAAGCTTCAATCAAGTTATTTGCAAAAAACAAGGCTCCAGTAATTGACAGAATACAAACTGAAATCTTTCAATAAACTGATGTAGAGCACTGGAGGTACTCACTCATACATGCCAAGAAATTTGTAAGATAGCTACATGGCCAACTGATTGGAAGAGATGCATATTTGTGCCCATTCCAAAGAAAAGTGTCACAGCAGAATGCAGCAATCATCAAACAACATAATTAATATTATATGCAGGGAACTGCCAAAAATTCAAGATGATTCAAAAGAGGACATGGAACTAGGGATATCATTGCTGATATCAGATGGATCTTGGTTGAAAGCAGGGAATACCCGAAACAAGTTTACTTGTGTTTTTACTGACTATGCAAAGGCATTCGACTGTGTGGATCATAACAAACTATGGATAACATTGCAAAGAATGGGTATTCCAGAACACATAATTGTGCTCATGAAGAACTTGTACATAAACCAAGAGGCAGTCATGAGAACAAAACAAGTGGATACTGAATCGGGAAAAGTTGGATCCTTTCACCATACTTATTCAACCTGAATGCTTAGCAAATAATCCAAGAAACTGTATTATATGAAGAACATGGCATCAGGACTGGAGAAGATTCAAAAGCCACCTGCGATATGTAGGTGACACAACCTTGCATGCAAAGTAACCAGTTACTCCTGAATCAACGCCTACTCACAGCAACCCCATGAGTGCCAGTGTAGAACTGTGCTCTAAAAGGTTTTCAATGGCTAATTTGGGGGGAGTTGATCTTCAGGTCTTTCCTTCCACAAATCCCAGAGTTTCAACCAAATGAGTTAAGGAGCGTCCAGAGAGCCATCTGTGCACTTAATAATGGAAGCATGGAGAACCAATGAACAACAACGGAGAATTAGGGAGAAGAACCACCAACACAGCAGTAATAGCAACAGCAATAATAACAATATAATAACCACTAACACTACACACCAAGCACTGTACTTATTAACTAATATGCACCCTTTATTTTCCTTCATCCTCAATACAACCCAGTTAGATATACTATCTACATTTTTCAGATAAAGCGAAATGAGAGACACAATGATAGAACTAATAAGCGTACCCAGCTCAACAAGAGTTTACCTTCTCCTACACACAAAGTCTGCCGTAACTTTACAGTTTTACTTTTAAGGCCAATTTTTACTTTTAATATCACTTTGAATGCAAATTTTAAAGTTGCTTTTTGTAGTGGGGTGATAATGATAATTGAAGCTAAGTCCTGAGTTCACAGGCAACACTAAAAACTAAGACAACCATGTAAAAGGCAGGTTGTTCATCTACCTGCTATTTCTAGTCTGTGGACACCTAAACACTCAAGAGGGATTCTTACCATGCTGTCCATCATCCCCGTGCTAGGCTTTACCAATGAATGTTTCTTTATCCACTTACCTCAAAGTACTGTTTTGAGGGTTAAATGAAAAGAAAGCAGCTAGACATTACATTACCAATATATGCATTGCTGTATTGTTTGACAAGGAGTTCAGAAGCCTGGAGAACTCAATTTGGGAGTTATTATCACACTACTATAGGTAGTACAAGTTATCAAAGGAAGACAACACAGAAAGAAACCCCCAATTTTAACATTCAGAAGTATCAACATTTAAGTGTCAAATTAAAGACAATGAAACAACAAGTAAGATTTTAAATAAGTGGTGGTGGTTATGTGCCATGGAGTCGGCTCCCTCATAGCACCCCTACACAGGGTTTCCGAGGCTGTAAATCTTTACGGGAACAGAAAGCCTCATCTTTGTCTAGGGGAACAGCTGTATTTTTGAACTGCTAATCTTGAGGTTTTGCAGCCAACTCATAACCACTACGCTACCCCAGCTCCTTTTTAAATATGTAGTCAAAGTAATACAAAGACATAAAAAAGAACGACAAAGTGTAACACTGTTCTAATCAATTAGTTTGCTAATCAGACCCCCATGCCTCTAGGACACAGACACTTAGAAGTGGCCTTTACTGTGCTGGTGTTGTTAAGTACCTTAGAGTCGGTTCTGAGTCCAGCTAGTGTGTTTGAACTGCCCACCTTGTAGTTCGAGGTTCTGGGCTGATCCTACAGAGCCACACCAGGAATCCTGGAGAGGGGCCTAGGAAAGCCTAACTGACTCGTGAGGCTCTAAGTACCCCGTGCACGAACTGCACTGTACTCGAAGCCTGAGAAGCGCAGCGCTGGTGCTGAGTTTCAGAATGAGATGGGGCAGACAAGCCAAGAGACTTAGGGCGCAGCCGGGTCCATAAGCGCAAGCTGGAAAAGAGTTCACCACCGCCCCTTCCCCACCCGCTCCAACTCTCGCACCCGATTCGCGCCCATCTCCTCTTCACGGGGCTGCAATACAGCGGAAGAGAAGCAACGTGTACCCCATGAACGCTCGCGGTACAACCAGCGGGCACGGAATACTCCCGGACTCTTTTCACTTCCCACCCGTTATGGAAAACTGCCCCAACCCGGGTACTAAGCCTGCATTGAGCCTACGGGGTCTGGTAATTACCTACAGCTCCTCCGCGCCGCCATTACACAGGATGCACGTCACTTCCCGTTACCACACGCCAGCGGCAGAAGGCGGAGCATGAAATACATTAAAAACTAGCTGTAATACGATATAGTATTGATTCCTTTGCAATACCATCTCGTAGAACTAGTTTTAAAGCACTCTGTTCGGCCACACATTACCCTTACTAAGACAGCGACGCATGAGAAGTTGATAAAACTACTACGTCCAGCATGCACCGCCTCTGCGGACGGACATGACGCAGGCAAAGTTGTAACTTTAAGCTGAAGAGCCGCAGTGTGGGACGGGAATTGTAGTCCATACAGGTATTCGCTGTTGTTAAGTTGTTAAGTGCCGTAGAGTCGGTTATGACCCATAGCGACCCTGTACAGGGTTTCCGAGGGTGTAAATCCTTACGGGAGTAGAAAGCCTCATCTTTCTCCCGTGGAGCGGCTGGTAGTTTCGAACCGCTGACCTTAAGGTTCGCAGCCCGATTCGTAACCACTACGCTACCAGAGCTCCTTAGGTGTTCGCTAGTGCATTAGATAAACGAACCGGAAACCTTGTGTTAGGTGCACAGGAGTCTGTTCCGACTCGTAGAGATCTTGTACAGGGTTTCCCAGGCTGTAAATCTTTACGGGAGCATAAAGCCTCATATTTCTCCCACAAAACAGCTGCTAGTTTGGAACTGTTACCCTGAGGTAAGCAGCCAAATTCAGAACCACTAAGGTACTAGGCAACCACTCACGCCCACAACTCTTCTGTCAATTTGTCATACTTTGGTGAATTGTGAGTTGCTGTAAGTCTGAAAACTATACCACCGGTATTTTAAATGCCAGCAGGGTCACCCAGATGAGCTTCCAGACGAAGATACACTAGAAAGAAAGAGTGACAGACTGCTTCTGAATATTTAGTCACTGGAAACCTTATGAATAGCACAGAAACACTGTCAGATATAGTGTGGGGGAAAATGAGCCCCTCAGGTTGGAAGACACTAAAATGCAACTGGGGAAGAGCTGCCTCCTCAAAGTAGACTGTGATGACACGAATGGCTTCGTTTGTTGATGGAGCACAACTCAAAATGAAGAGAAACAACTGTAAACATCCATTGAAAATAGGAATATGGAATGTATTAAGATCTGGGAAATTGGAAGTTGTCAAAAATGAAATGGAATGCACAAACATCGATTTCATAGGCATTAGTGAGCTGAAATGAATCTGATGACCACATGGTTTACTACACCGGGAATGACAAATTGAAGAGGAATGGTGTGGTATTCATCATAAAAAGAACATACCCAGATCAGTCATGAGATACAACGCTGTCTGTGATAGGATAATATCCATGTGTCTATAAGGAAGACCAGTTAATACCACTATTATTCAAATTTACACACCAAACACTAAAGCCAGTGAGGATGAAATAGAAGAATTCTACCAACTTCTTCAATCTGAAACCGATCAAACATGCAATCAAGATGTATTGCTCATTACTGGTGATTGGAATGCAAAGGTTGGGAACAAAGAGGAAGGATCAGTAGTTAGAAAATCTGGCCTTGGTGGTAGAAATTATGCTGGAGAATGCATGATAGAATTCTGCAAAACCAATGATATGTCCATTTCAAATACCTTCTTTAGACAACATAAGAGATGAGTATACACATGGACCTCACCAGATGAAATACATAGAAATAAATTGACTGCATCTGTGGAAAGAGACGATGGAAACACTCCATCTCGTCGGTCAAAACAAGGCCAGGGACAAACTGTGAAACAGATCATCAATTACTCATATGCAAATTCAAACTGAAGTTAAAGAAAATGAAAACAAGTCCAC